TCTGCCTGACCCTAAGGCAGAGAACTGTGCCTCAAGTGTGTCGCATTGGAGTGTTAGGGATCATGAATGGGGTACCCTTCTCGGTCATTGCTCTGCAGGAAAAGCGCTCACCTCCAAGGGGCGGGCTCTATCGCCAAGGAGGAGGAGCCAGATGCCTAAGAGGGTGGGGCCTGGGTGTGTCCGAGCCCAAGGGGCGGGGCAGCAGTAGCCCGCGGCTAGGTGACCGGCGCCTGCGCAGAGGCCCCCCCCAGCGACGCCTCTAGCTGGGACCTGGTGAGATTCTGTCTCCGCTGCGGCGCTCCTGATCTGTCGCCTGGGTCGGGTCCCACGCCTGGCTCGGCCATGAGCCGGTGCGCTGAGGCGGCGGCGGTGGCGGCCACAGTGCCGGGCTCGGGCGTCGGGGAGGCGGGGCTGCGGCCGTCCATGGTGCCGCGCCAGGCGTCCTTCTTCCCGCCGCCGGTGCCGAACCCCTTCGTGCAGCAGACGCAGATCGGCGCGGCCAGGCGGGTCCAGGTGAGGGCCGCGGTCCGACGGGGGAGGGCGGCCGAGGAGCGCGCGCGTGGGAGAGGGGAGCTGGTCTGACGGGACCCCGGGTCCGAGAGGGGAGCTGGTCTGACGGGGGCGTGGGTCTAGAGGGGAGGACGGCCGAGGGGGGCGTGCGTCCGACCCGGGACGTGGTCTGAGCGGGGCGTGGGTCTGGGACGCAGAGGCGTCTAAGGAAGAAAGAACTGTCGATCGGAGAGAAGAGGACTTTTGAGGGTCCGTGAGTCTGAAAGGGGCAGAGGTGTGGCCCTGAGAATTGAGGACACTTGGAGAACGGTGCGAGGGTGTGTGAGAAGGGAAGATGCAGAGCAGATGGGAGCCCGAGAGGAGGGTCTGAAACACGAAGAGGCTGATCTGGCTAGTGGCGGGGGACACATTCCATGCCCCGAGAAGGGACAGTGAATCTGTCGCAGAAGCTTCAACTTGAAATTGTGAGAGTGGATTGGGAGGCAGATTTGCCACAGGAGAATAGGTTTGGAAGGCTTTTGGGTGTTTTTGTTTTGTTTTGTTGTTTTGTTTTGCCTTGGGGAAGGAGAGGAGTCAGTCTGGGGTGGATAGAGTGAGGGGGAAGGCAGAGAGCCCAGGTCTGGAATGAGAACGGCAGGTAAGGCTGGAATGAACTAGCTGAGCAGGAGCATCAAGGATAGGAGATAAGAAATCAAAGAAAAGGGATAAAACCGTGAGCTTAAGGTGTTCAAGAGTTTTTGGTCCTGAATTTGTCTTCACCCAAAAACTTCTCCAAAATTCAAGGATAAGAGGTAGCCCAGACTGCCTTCCACTTTTAAAATGACTGTATTGCAAAGGAAGTTTCCTTTCCTTTTTCTTGTAAAGGCTGCTTTTACCATTAGCAGTTACACTCATTCTCTGGACTTCCTCTTTGTTGAAGTTAGTGATCAGAGAACTAGATAGACTCTGCAAACTGCATTTGTCCTGTGTGTTCTATAGGAGGAAAAATAGTTTTAATGCTTTCCTGTCCACTTCACACATTACTTTGGATTTGAAGTAGTGTAATTTTTGCAGCCTGCCTGTATGCAGGAAGACCATTGTCCTCTATAGTAGGTGCAAGTTAAGTGCTAGGCTAAGCAGCACGGGGTGGTGGTTAGAGTAATTGTAGCTAGGTGTCTGGTTGAGGAAGGGTGTGAGTGAGGAAGAGGAACATAGGAATGTAGTAATACCTCTTTGTAAAGAAACTAAAAGTTTAAAAACTTGATCTTTATGTCTTTAAATGGATAGATGTTTTCTTTATATCTTGAAATGTCCGAAACACTTCTAAATATGTTGATCATCATTCAAGACGAAATTTAGTCTGATTTACTCAAATCGGTCATGTTTAAATGAACGTATGTCCATCTGCTTGGCTTCATATTTTGGATCAGAGTAGCATGTTTATAAATATTTATATTGCACCTAGAGTAAATTAAGTTTTTTATTGCCTAGGTTGTTACTGTTTAGAGAACTCTCCCAATTTTACAGCTCTTTTAGCTGTATAATTAGA